CCCCCAAAGCCCCGCGGGGCTTTTCCGTCCCTGCGGGTTCGGGATGTCCCCGGGACACCCGGGATGTGCTCCAGCTGTGGAACAGCTTTCCTGGCATTTGGAAATGCTCATGCTCCTATTTTTTTAAAATATTTGTTTTCCAGTTTATTCCTCTTTTTTTTTCCCCCATTTTATTCCTCTTTTTTTCCCCCAGTTTATTCTCGTTTTACCCCAAGTTTATTCCCCTTTTTTTCCCCATTTTATTCCTCTTTTTTTCCCCAGTTTGTTCCCGTTTTTCCCCCGTTTCTTCCCCCTAGTTTATTCCCGGTTTTTTCCCCACTTTATTTCCTTTTTTTCCCCAGTTTATTCCCGTTTTTTTCCCCAGTTTATTCCCGTTTTCCCCCCATTTTATTCCTCTTTTTTTTTCCCAGTTTATTCCCGTTTTCCCCCCTATTTTTTTTCCGTTTTTCCCCAGCTTATTCCCGTTTTCCCCCCAAGTTTTTTCCCGTTTTTTCCCCACTTTATTCCCGTTTTCCCCGCGGTTAATTCCCGGTTTTTTTCCCCTGTTTCCCAGAGGCTGGAGCGCTGTGTGGGGATCGTGACCTCCCTGACCAACGGGCTCTCGGAACGCGAGGCCAACGACGCCCTCAACGCCCACGTGAGTGCTGGGAATGGAAAATAAATATCCTGGAATTCCCAAAATCCCGGGATCTGGGTCCTGCTGGGAGCTCTGAGGGGGTGGCAGCTGGGAATTCCCTCCTGGAATTCCTAAAATCTCGGGATGTGGGTCCTGATAGGGCTCTGGAGGGATGGGAATTGGGAGCTGGGAATTGAGAACTGGGATTTGGGAGCTGGGAACTGGGAATTGAGAATTGAGAACTGGGATTTGGGAGTTGGGAGCTGGGATTTGGGATTTGGGAACTGGATTTGGGAGCTGGGAATTGAGAACTGGGATTTGGGAGCTGGGAACTGGGAATTGAGAATTGAGAACTGGGATTTGGGAGCTGGGAATTGGGATTTGGGAACTGGATTTGGAAGCTGGGAATTGGGAATTGAGAACTGGGATTTGGGAGCTAGGAACTGGGAATTGAGAAGTGGGAGCTGGGATTTGGGAGCTGAGAACTGGAAATTGGGATTTGGGAACTGGATTTGGGAGCTGGGAATTGGGTTTGGGATTTGGGAACTGGATTTGGGAGCTGGGAATTGGGTTTGGGAACTGGGAATTGGGTTTTCCTTCCATCCCAGCTGGAATTCACCTGGATTTTTCCCCTTCCCAGATCTGCAAAGGGACCCCCCAGCACGAGGAGATCTGCCTGGGGCTCTTCACCCTGGTGCTGACAGACCCAGCCCAGGCACAGAAGGTGGGGGAATCCTGGAAAAAAAAAAGGGAAGGAATTCGGGAATTTCCCTGGGTGCCATTCCAGGATCCCTGTGGTGCAGGGGAGAGATCCCTCCCACCCCAGGAATTCCTTGGGTTTGCCCATTAGAGGCAAATCCTGTTTTTTTTCTAAGGATCTCCCAGGGTTTTTCCCAGTTTTTTCCATGCCTTGGGATATCTGGAATGGTTTTTTTGTGTTTTTTTTTTTTTGCCTCATGGAATTCCACGAGTGGATGCTCCTGGAATTTGTCAGCTGGAGAAGGGACGTGCTCGAATCCCAGGGAAATTTTTTTTCCCAGCACTCCAGCTCCATTAATTCCCAGATCTGGGGGTCAGAATCCTGGATTTGGGAGCAGCTCCAGGCCCCAGGAATCACCTCATGGAATCACAGCTCACTTTTCCTGGGAATCTCCAGGCCTGGCTGCTCCTGCTGGCTGCTGGGAATTCCATTTTTCCCGGATTTTCCTTTGGATCAAAGGCTTTGCTTGGTCAACCTGAGCATTCCCAAATCCTCCCCACGGAGCCCTGGAGAGGCTCAATCCCACCAGGATCTGCTCCCAGGCTTTTCCTGCTTTTCCAGAGATGCTTTTCCAAAGGGTGACCCTTCCCCATCCCTCTGGGAATGTCCAGGAGGTTCCTGGAAGCAAAAGTTGGGAGAATCCCATCCCTCGGGGGGATGTTCCCTTCCATGGATTCCTCTGGAATTTTCCTCTGGAATTTTTCCCCTGGAAAAGGGAGCAGCGTTCTGGGGGCAGTGGCAGCCTGGGGACCTGCTGTGGCTCTTTTCCAAGGGTTTAATTGGAATAATTGGGATAATTGGATCAGGCAGGCCCTGCTGGAGCCAGGGAGCCGGGCTGGGATTTGGGATGGGGTTAA